TATATTCATATTAATTTATTTATATATTAATATATTTTAATACATTCATATATTTTATTTCTTAACAACGTGTTAATTATTTCACGACCATAATTTATTATTTACCATTATTATAACTACAATTTACTACTTTTGTTATTACATTTACCATCTTTATTATTAAATCATCTATAAATGCTTAATAAAATATGATCGAGGATAGGTAGTTACATCCCCGATTTACTTCCTTATGATATTCTCGTAAATTTATCAAAGTCGAGATTACTCTTTTCCTGATTAATCAGAATCATTGCTTTTGATTGAAACGTTACGGCTCGTGAAAGTGCATTTCGACTACTTTAAGTGGATTTAATTATATCCATTGCCACTGACGATGTTAATGGAACCTTTTACCTCGAGCCATTACCTCGGTGACTTTTTCCCCTGTGTACATTTTTATACAACGTGTAGGCCCTCGTGCATTCTTGTTATTACAGCAACACGTACGCGTAATTTTATATTCCTCTTATTACCTATTCCAGTTAATTACGAGCCACATTGTACACGGTTATCGATCCGTATATTTCGGATCATAGCTATGAAAAGGTTGAGTATCCGAGTTTACGAGATTTTAATAAATCCACTGGCTTTTCGATTGGCAAGTCCTGCATTCCCACGTGTTATAGCGTTAAAACGATCGTGGAAATGTGTAAAATCTGCAATTCATGAGGCGCTTTAGTGGATTTAGAAGTGCGCTGAGATTAGCTCGTTGAATGTATTTAACTGTTATTACGCGATTAAAATAGTGCCAGTTTGACATGTTTCATGGGTTTATAGCTAAGCCCGTTATGGCACTTTTTGACCTTCTTCTTTTTTTTATTTTTTATTCCTTCTTCTTCTGGAAGGGATAATGAAACGTACAGCAGCGTTTAATTCGATTATTTATACCGCTTTGTACAGTGTTAACGTGGAGTTTAATTTTATGGTCACTGGGTATATGATGTGTAGAGTGGAAAGTACAAATCGTACAAATCATATGTTAAATATATCGTTGCAAAATTCCATTGTTCTTCCTTCATTCTTGTTTTTCTGTGCATTTTAATGTGCAGAATATATTTAAAAATTTTTTTGCTCCTACTGTATTTTTAGTGGAATTTTTTAATATTTGAGATAAAAGATAGTAAGTTTACTATCACCCTTGTATAATTTCTTTACATTTCTTTTATCAAATTTCATTTATAATGTTTTTCCTGCTTCGAGTTCCCTTTTATACATTTTATATATTTTATTCAGGCCTAAAATTAAAATATTTCTGTTCCAAAAATAAATTTAAATCCTCTTAATATTCCTCTCTGTATTAACATTAAACCTACGTCACTGCTAGTCAAATGTCGTAATAGTTGGATAAACGAAATAAGAAAAAATACCGAAAGCTGAACTACATGTACGTTGTAAAAATAATAATCTAGAATTTAAGAATTTTCAATTAAAAATTCAAAAACGATTATTTAAATCACAGTAGTTAAACTGTAAAAATTCAGAAATAAAATATTCGATCACCCAGAATTTTATATTTCAGATGAATCGGAATAAACGTAATTAAATATAATTTCAGTGACAAAAATAATAACTCGGTATACAGAGATGGAAATATAATACAAAAATCACGGCTAAAATATAAGAATAAAATATCGGCAGCTGCAAAGTTCGCTGAAAATCGTGTCTAAACCGAAGCACTCTTTCTACTCTCGACGTTAGCGAAGTGACTCACCCTGTATATTCCCCCCGGGTGTATTCCCATCTGTTCCCAATGTCCAAGGGGTCCCGCGGGCATCTCCCTCCCCTGCCGTCGGGGCCACGTAAGTCGACCAATCGCCCCCTCCCTTCCCGCCCCGCCGCCTATCCCGCGCGACGACCCTCGAACGGCCCCTATTCAAAGTCTTCGTCCGGCGTCTGTCGGCAGTTAGTCGCGGGACGTCCACCGTGCAACGTGTCTCTCTACATTGGTTTGGTTCGCGGCTCGCGGTGTCTAACATCCCTCTTTATCCTCCGAATAACAAAGAAATCACTCGACTCTAACCACGTCGTCCCTCTCGCTTGTTCCCGCGTCATCGTCCAGTGTCTCGTGCTCGACGAACGCTCTTCGGGACCGGTGCAACAGGTCCAATAGTTCCTTCGATATTTCGATCGTGCCGTTCGCGTCTGAATCTGGCTTTCGAAGAAAGTGAATTTCCAGAATCGTGCGCCGGTGTTCAGTTTATTTACGTTCCGCCGGGACACGTTACCAATTATTCGCCGGTCACCCGGCTGCCCTACGTTGCCGACATCAACATCGAAATCGAAATTGGAAACAGGATTCCAGGCATTTCTTGAACTCTCGCGAATTTTCGTATCGCGAGGATTATTTCGTGCATCGGGACGGTGGAAATCAGAGGAGGGGAGTAAGATCGGGCGAATTGGAAGGAACGGTAGGAAAAAGAAAAATCGTCGAGGTTGTCTCGAAGGCCAGGCTACCTGGCACAGATAATCGGGAGAGAAGAAAGTTTGTCTGGCTGCTGCATCCGGCTCGGAGTGTCTCCCGCCCTCCTCGATCGCTCATCCCCGCTGGTTTCGTAATTCCGCCATCGAATTTCTTCCCTGCCGCGTATTTTCGTGGCCACGGAGCATCATTGGCGGAGAGGGAGGCTCGCGGCGGAATGTCGGCCCGTTAATGATCTCGCGCGCCTCTTCGCGGTGAAAACGGAAGGAATGAGTGGCGCCACGGATGAAGTTCCACCGTGCCGATTGAATGGAGCTATCTCGACGAGGATTTGACCATCTCTCGCGCCGGAGTCGTCCCTCTCTCGTGAGTAAAATCGTCCTTTTTCCTGTTTCGCGTATTTTATGTATTTATTGTTCGTGCGAATTTTCGAGTTATGGAAAATTATGGGGAATTATGGGGAATTTTAATTTACGAGAAATTGGTGTCTTATTGTGTTTGTGGTTCATGGTGGACGATTCCTGTTGTAGGTAAAGTGGTCGTGGTTGTGTTCGTCGGCGTGGTACGCTTATCTCTGCGTAATTATTTGTAATGGTCGCCGGGCAAATTGGTGATGCAAGGATCGGGAAGTAATTGTTGTTCGACGATGATGGAATTGTGTTAGGGTAATGTAAGGCACTGATAGATGTGCAAGACAGAGATTGTTGGATTGCACGGATATGTAACTTCGCAGTCACATGGCGTAATGCGAGTTAACGAGATGGGGTTTAGGAGTCGTTTACATGTGTCAAAACGTCAGATTTTATCTGGGAGATCTTTCTCGTTTGGACGTCTTTAAGAGCGGATTTACTAAACGACGGCTGAAGGTGCAAAGGGTTAAAAAAATCTGCCGATTTCCCTGTTTTTGGTGTGATTTTTGAATCACATATTTTGTAAAATTTTCTTCATTTTTTACATCGTCATATATTTCTTCTTTTTTTTCAATCAATTTTTTGAACAATTGTGGTTGAAATAGACGATATTATTGTCGAAAAGTGACTCTATATCTCAATTTTTCTGTCTCCTGATTTTTTCGTTTTTTCTTTTATATTTTTTATGTACATCGATGAAAATGAACTGAATTTTTGGTGAAAGTAGTAGTATGGATAATCGAAGATAAAATTTGAAAATTTGATCAACACGATGATCGTTCCACCTTTAATATTAGGTTACGTTTATATTACTCTTTCAAACAGGTTATTTAAGCAAAGTAGGGAGAATTGTTTGATTGTTTGAGTCTCTAAGTACCTCTTAACCTTGTTGTTGTATTACGCTAATACGTAGATTACCAAGAATACGTCACTATGATTCATTACTCGGTCCAGAGAATTACTAAATTAGAATGTTACTTTCGATTTCTTCCAACACTCTCAGAATCCATTCTTGGTATTAAAATTGGCCTCTGCGTTCTCCAATTATACGAAAAGCAACAAAAGACCGAATTCTTTTTTAACAAATATTTTTCCCTGTCGTCAAAACTAATTTAATTTTAAAATAACATAATTTTTCATTTTCCTCTTACTGTTCGCCATTTTTGTTGCGTCAGAAGTCACAAAAATTAGTAAAAATAAATACTAACGTCGTTTCTACCTTCTCCCTTCCCTTTTGAACTCAATTACGCTCCTCTTTAATCAAAGAACTTTTTAATTAGTTTAACCCTTTGCACTCGACGATTTTTTGTTCAGAGAAGAGTGGAAATTCAAAAATTCTCTGCTATAAAATTGACGATATTTTATTCATCAGGAAATAAGAGATCGTATAATAATTAATACGTAAAATTATTTGATTTCGATACCTCGCACATTATTATTGTACATTATCTTAAATTTCAAATATTAATTAACATTGTTACATTATTTTAAATTTCAGATATTACTTAACATTGTTACATTATCTTAAAATTCAGATATTAATTAATATCGATTTCCAAAATTTTATTAAACGGTAACCGAAACTCGCCTCTCGAGTGCAAAGAGTTAACTTTATTTTTCAAATCCTTATACACTACCTTTCTTTTCAAAAAACATTCTCCTCGTGTGTCACGTGAAATAATTCCTCCATCTACGATATTATAAATATTAAAAATATTAAAAATGTTAAAAATATTAAAATAATTCCTCCTTTAAAAGATATTACGACTTAAAATTCCACACACGTACATACACACATACACATTAATTCTCAACATCCACTCTTCTTTCCAACTCAATTATTCTATTATATCCAACTCTGTGACTTCGACATTCGCGTCATAATTCCAACATTTGCATCTGTTTTTCGTCAAAAATATTTATTGTGCCTCGCCTCGGAGTATCCGTAGGAGAAAATGCCAGAGGTGTGCAAAGACATGCAACAAAGACGTAGAGAGAGAAAGAGAGAGAGAAGAAATCTAAAGCACAATGGTGGAATCGAATCGTTGCTCCATCGACCTTTTGAGAAACTTCTACCGATTAACTCGATCGGCAAAAACATGGAACTGCATGCACCGCGTTGGATTTGCGTGATTATAGCACGATCGAGTGTGGAGCCTTTTCGACACGGGCGGTTTTACGGTTAAATGCAATATTGTCCCCAGAAAACTACCGTTAAAGTGATCGTGACCTCGATCGAGTCTGTATAGATTCTGTATAGATCCGCTTCTAGATCGTCTATATACGACCGGACAACCGGATCGACGACTTTTTACGAAATCGCTGAAAGCACCGACCGGCCTAAACTTGACTCAGAAAATTATTTTAACCTTTTTCTGGCCGGCCTCTCGAATTGCTTCTTGGCCCTCCTGTTCCTTCCACTCTCGGCATCGCGATTTTCGTCACCAGCCTCTGTGGCTTTCATACGGGGTGTCCAGCTTGGAAGAAACCTCATTAACCTCTCAACTTTTAACCACCTCACCGTTATTTTATTCACAATTTCAGTGACACGACGAATATTTTATTTACAATTTCCGCAACCTGATGAATATTTTATTTTTATTTTCAGTGACTCGACGAATATTTTATTTATAATTTTATTCGAAGCAGAGAAGAGAGATATTTTTGTAACATCCTGTCTTTTTTACTATTTTTATTTTCATAGTACCGTCATTATGGTAGCTTTTTTTCTTAGAGAAAATTGTGTGTTCTTTTATTGAATTTTTCTTTTCTATTGAAAGATGTATTTGACCATATCTGTATTATGGCTGTCAGATGACCTCAGATCGTGTCTTTCCTCATTGAATTATTTTTTAATTTCCATTTTCTTTTTTTCTTTTTCCTATTCAGAGATGTATGTGAGTATTTCTGAATTACGATTCCAGGGTGACTTTTTAATTATTTTTAATTTCCATTTTTTTCCCCCTATTCAGAGATGTATGTATTTCTGAATTACTATTTTAGGTTGATCCTAAATCCTAAACCGTGCCATTTCATGTTCAATTTTTCTTGTATATCAAAGGATGAGTAACTATTCCTGAATTCGTGACCTTCGGATGACCTCAGATTACAGATACGCGATAATATTCTGAATTATATTTAATAATGAATAATATTTCTGAATTACTATTCTAGGTTGATCCTAAATCCTAAACCGTGTCATTTCATGTTCAATGTTTCTTGTACATCAAAGGATGTATCTGACTATTCCTAAATCCATGACCTTCGGATGATCTGAGATTACAGATACGCGATAATCTTCTGAGATAATGTTAATGTTAATGATAATGTTAAACGTGAGCTTACCGTTTGTGTTATACGCGTTGAATGTGACTTCTGTGTCGACAGCGGCAAACGTTATCAGAGATCGTGAGAGATTATCTAACGCTCTTATCAGCTGATGTCACCAAGTTCTGTTCCCTAGCTGGACACCCTGTAGCGTGTCTTTGATCTATATTAAAGTTCGCTATACCGTTAGCACGGTGTATTCCGCACAAGAAGCTATTTGCTTTGGGATAATTAATTTTTTTAGGCTGAAATTGAATCAAGTCGAGATTTCGCGCGGAAATAAATGGCTATCCGGAATTGGAAGATTAAGCGAGGTAGGTGTAAGATTAATAGCCGGAGAAATTATGAGAGGTCAGAGATGCTATCTCGTGGAGCTTTTGTGCGACTGTCTCAGCACGATACGAGATCTTATCTCCCATTAGTATGCTACACAATTTTTCCCTAATTATTCGCAGCGTACGAGAATAAAAGGTAACCAGCAATGGATGGAGTTAACAGTGTCTCCGAGGAGCAGATGGTTAAATTACGATAGTTCGGAGATAGTGCACTATAGTACTCTATAGTACTCTATACGGTATATTCCCGTGTCCCATAAAATGCTATTTTGCATCGGTACTTCGCGGAATTTCTTACAGCCACTTTGCTGCAAGAAAATAAATAGCTACCTTCTCGTGTTAGGTGCAAGATTAATACTGTTAGCCGAAGAAATCGTGAGAGCTCGGAGATAGTTACCTATACACTTTTCCTACGACTAACACGTTGTTATAGTCTTATCTTACATTAGAATTCTCGATAAATTTTGTCCAATGGGAATAAAAGATATCACCAATTGAACAACTGAGCTAATTGACGTTGAGACACCTGGCGCCTAGGATTAGCGCTAAACAAATATTAATCCTGTCTTCTACCAATTCCCAATTCGTATTGGCTTTCTGTACAACTTTTTCCAACTATTCCAATGATTTAGTCCAATTTGAAGAAAATAGATACACACCTGAAATTGGAAATTGAACGATACGAGGTGAAGAGACACCAGGTCTGGACTTAAAATAGACAAGCTTATGAGAATTCGGACACGCCATTCTACTTTACAGGATTGCCCCGATTACTGCCAACGGTTCCTCCAACGAAGCCTCATTTTAATTCTTGATCGCGTTTGCTTCCCTATTTTCTCGCTCAATTACCGATATCGTAATTATCTCGCCAAAGTAGAGTAGCGAATGAATTTTCTCTAGACCAGTCTGTTAGCTCTTCGCGTACGGTTCCACGATTAACGAAGCCTCGTTGATTCTCTAAATTACGCACATTCCAGCCCTCTAAACTGTCGGTCCATAGCTCTACTTAACCCGACACACATAATCTCCTTCGGCAACCACTACAACGGATTCCAAGGGTCAATTAATGAAGCTCTTCGAATCAGAGCGAGTCTCTTCTCTTCGCAGAAATACATTCTGCCATCTAATTGATCCTCTGAAATTCAGATCTACCTGCCGCGATCCTCCATACGCGGCCATGAAGCATCATCCAGCGATTCCGCTCGCAGCCCCTAATTAACTCGCTCAAATCGTAATTACGAAGGGGCATAATCAAGCATAATCCCGCATAATCGTGCATAATCGAGCATAATCG